TGAGGAGGTGTTACAGGAGCCAGCAGAGTGTCACAGCTGCTCTGGAGAGAAATTTGAAGGCGTGAAGCGTCTGAAATGTGTCTGCCCTCTCTGCGAGGCTGGCAGACAGAGTCAGTGTGAGGTGCCAGCACCTCCCTCCCTGACTGCCAGGTCCTTTACTGTAAATCCCACAGCTTGGTGTGTGAGAGCAAAAATAAAAAAGGAAAGACACTTAGCTTCAGTATAAAAAAAAAAAACAGAAGAAGAAGAACAGTCCTTGCGCTCAGCTCCCATGATCGAGTGTCGGTCTAACATCTGGTACCAGGTGGACTTTGATACCATCACACAGTCTTCCTGGCAGTCAGGACTCGGACTATAGATCCCACTCCTCCCACTGCAAGAGCCTGAGGAGGGGGGACACACACACACACACACACACACACACACACACACACACACCACACCACACACACCACACACACACACACACACACACACACACACCACACACACACACACACACACACACACACACCACACACACACACACACACACACACACCACACACACACACACACACAGAGAGAGAGAGAGAGAGAGTTTGCAGAAAATGTGGATTCAAACACTTCAGAATAACTCAGCAAAAAACACAATGTTCTTTGACTGTCTACAATGGGTGTAACACCCGAGTCCCACTGTCTGTGATGTTTTCAGAGTTTTCAGAGTCCTATCTTCACTTTGTTTACATCGCCAGGACGGCCGGCTGACTCCTCCCCTCTTGTATAAAAGTTGTTTAATTGAGGGACTAGAGAAAAGAAGAATAACATACTGTACTCACTGCTTAACTGTGTTTCTAGATCACGCTCATTTCAGGTAAATTTACATGCAGTGTGAAGATACGAGCATAATAAAGATCGCTAGCATTAGCATGCTAACACAACAATGCAGCGCGAGTTGTTTTGGTTTCATGCTGGTGCTCAAGGGCGACATCTGCTGGATCAAAAAATCACATAAAGCCTTTAAACATTTCCCTTCATAAAACAGCTGATTATTTGAACATATAATCCTTGATTATTTCTTCATCATTATGTATATTTTGTTTTTATCAATGGGGTAAAAAAGAAAATGTTTATCTGAAAAGATAAATCTTTGTAAAGATTGGCCTTTAATTAAAAAAAAACTTTGAGATTAATATCCTCTCGTCCTTTTTTTACAACACACGAGAGATGCGTTGTTAAAAAAAAGTAACTAAGTAACTTTTACTGAAAGTACATTTTAAATGAGTTACTTTTTACTTTTACTTTGAGTACATTTTTAAACTGGTACTTTTACTTGTACCTAAGTAAAATTTTATCAAAGTAACAGTACTTTTACTTGAGTAGAATATATTAGTACTCTTTACACCTCTGTATGCTACCAGGTCACACCTACACATTCACACACTGATGGTAGAGGCCGCTGTGTAAAGAGTCCATCAGTATTAACTCATCCATTCACACACTGATGGTAGAGGCTGCTGTGTAAAGAGTCCATCAGTATTAACTCATCCATTCATACACATTCACACACTGATGGTAGAGGCTGCTGTGTAAAGAGTCCATCAGTATTAACTCATCCATTCATACACATTCACACACTGATGGTAGAGGCTGCTGTGTAAAGAGTCCATCAGTATTAACTCATCCATTCACACACTGATGGTAGAGGCTGCTGTGTAAAGAGTCCATCAGTATTAACTCATCCATTCACACACTGATGGTAGAGGCTGCTGTGTAAAGAGTCCATCAGTATTAACTCATCCATTCATACACTGCCGACAAAGCAGCGGGGGTAAATTGGGGTTAAGTGTTTTGCACAAGGACACATCGGACATGTTGCTGCAGGATCTGGGGATCGAACCCCCACCTTCCAGAGGCGACTGACTCTACCACTGACCCACAGCCGCCCTGTTTACTCTGATTCTTGTAAAAAAAAGTACATTTTGGAAACTCCCTGCCTTCTTTGGTCATGGCACACGGGCCGGGTTATGACACTAACCACTGGCTAAGTTCACCATCACATACAGAGAAAAACATGGCCATCAGATATAAGAGGATGGATTTGAAGAGAGCATCAGGAATGACTTTAACTCACTCAATACTTTTCAACATGTGACCTGACAGACTATGTGCTTTGATAGAGAATAAAAGCAGCCTTCCTTGCAGTATGACATTGATCTTTGTTGGTGACTCTGACCTCATACCTTTTCATGCCACTGCAGGAGCACGGCGCTGCTGTTGTCAGAAGGTTTCTCGAAGCCTCTGTAGATGTACTTCATTAGCAGATCCACTCCGGCTTTGTCCAGAGAGCCAACAGCCTTCTCAATGTCACCGCTCTTAAAGCTGCTCAGCACCCGCACCACCAGCAGCTCCGCCCGCTCCTGCGCACACACACACACACACAGGAGTTAGTAAACTCCAGATTTGCATCTCTTTACTTTGAAACAAATAATGAGTCATTTTAATCTTCTGTTGTTTAAATGAGAACTGAGAGAGGGTCAGGTATCAAGTAGATACCCGACCAACTCTCGGGGACAATTTTAAGGATTTTAGATTTTAGTTTTACTTTGTGGATTGTTGTACGATCATGAAGAAGATCATTCTGATGTGATCTGATTCAAGTTTCCCCTCTTCTTATCACTCAGTTTGGTCAAATCAAACAAAAACTAAACATTTCTATAAGGCAGATGGGAAAAATGTTTTTAGGACTGTTTCACATCTGTACTTTTACCAAAACCACTCACAACATTCAAATTTTCAGAGGGGGAGAGAACAATTTTTCATGTAACAATTGAGTGTGTGTGTGTGTGTGTGTTTGTTTGAGAGAGAGTGTGTGTGCTCTGATGTGGACTGCTTTGTAATGTGAGCAGACTTCCTGAAGGATTGTAAAATGTCCTGATATTACATCAGTAATAAATTAGGACTAAACAAATAAAGATTGATCCATTATCATTTTGAAAATAAACACAATGTAAACAACAAGTCAACATAGATGTGACGGGAAAACATACAATACTTTTCTTTGAACTGAAAAGGTCACTTTTAAAGGATCTTTATTCCAATGTTTGTCGAGTTGTTTCTAATCAAAGTCACGTCAGATAAACTTTGATGATTTATGACGTCTGATCGTCTGTAATGTTTGACCACAAAGAACTCAGATCAGCTTCTTGTTTCCCCGGCAACATGTGAGGTCACGTCAGTCAGTCATATCCTGTTTTTTTTTTTTTTAACCACTTGAAGCCCTTGCACGCTGTGGCCGTGCACCACGAGGTCATTAAAGTCTGCGAGCGTTCAGAGACGGGACTGAGACATTAAATCCTCCCCTGCCTCTGCTCCCACACAAAATGTTCTAGTATGATCAATGGACGTGTGCGTGCAGGTTACTATGAAGCCAAAGAACTTCAGTTACGCTGCACACACAAAGAAGCAGCGTGACAAACACAGGTACCTTGGTGTTCTGGTTCTTAGTGTTGATGGGGGGATTCTTGAGCACGGCGAGGAGAGCGGCGTTCATGTTCCCCTTAAAAACAACGGTCAAGGACTGAACAGTTTCATGAAGACAGGAAGTAAAGAAACATGAGCACATCTCAGCAGAGAGAGGAAAACAAGACTCGGGCAGAGGATGAAGTATCCACACAGAGGTTCTCTCTGCCCCCCCCCCCCGACCTCATCCATCAGTTTGTTTAAACTGATGGATGCAGGAGACGAGCGAGGAGTGTGCTAAAGGCTTAGCTGTCAGCTAACACTACTGCTAGTTTAGTAAGCAAGCTGCATCACTACATTTGAGTAACACAGAAAAACAAAAGGACGCCATGAGATCAAGGCGGTGGTCGACCAGTTTAAGGTGAACTGGTTGGAGTGTCTCAGAGTAGAGGCTTTCCTTCCTCTGATCTAAAAAGGTTCATCTCTGTGGGGATCCTTTCAGTACAATAACAATCTGAGCCTGTCACATGAACACCAGTAGATCCTGTTGTAGCTGCATCTCTCTCTCTCTCTCTCTCTCATAGAAAACACAGACACACTCCGTGCTGCAGCACACAGTCCTCCTGCATGAAGCCTGCTGCAGGCTGAACTAGAACTTTTAGTTTTTTTGGACCCGATCATGCCTAAGATTGAGCCCAGGTTTGGTGGATTAACATTAAACACTGGCATGTTCCCTGCTGCAGCACGAAGTCCTCCCTGCATGAAGCCGCTGTTGTGTTCTGCACATTTTTAATAAAAGGAGAACAGAATAAAAGAGCTAACTTATTAAAAAAGTCAAAAACACATCCATCAGGGCTAAGTTTACTTTGCACCGTTTGCACCAAATGAAGAAAACACACACGGATTTAAAGATCTGTAACATGTGAACTTTGTGTTAGAAAGTGAGCGACCACACCCTCGTGAGACCTGACACCCGGAAACGACAGCTTGTTCCGCAAACTGCTCCCTGAGACAGATTAAAGACACCAACCTGCACTGTCTGCTTTGACATTTCATCTGATCGTGATCCACAGAAATCAAACTTAAATCACGTCCCTTATTCTAAAGTCTGTCTGGTGAGCCCTGGCAGTGTTTCTGTCAGTGTTCCGCTGTGAAAACTGTAAATACAGATTATTATTTTAATGCATTACTGAAGGATATTGTCTGAGCAGAGAGTCCACTTCAGCCTCGTCCGGACCGCTCTGGTTCTCACCTCCCTCCTCTTCGTCCACAAACTTGTTCTCGTCGTACTCGTCGACGTCCACTTTCCTGAAGCGGGCCGAGTCCGTGTTTTTAGCCATTTTTCACAGGACACAAACTTTACTGTCACGGTTTGCGGTGCAGATACTTCCTGCTGCTGCTTCCTCACTTCTAAACTTCCGCTTCTGCTCCCTCTTCTTCTTCTTCTTCTTCTTCTTCTTCTTCTGACCTGAGGGCGCATTACCGCCACCTACCGGATTGAGTATGATTTTATTTTAATTTAATTTTTAAATACGTTATAAATCCCTGAAGAAAATTCTGGTTTTACACTCTGTTATTTTTAGAGACATGCTTCTCACACACACACACACACACACACACACACACACAAACAGGACCTGTGGACATTAGTGGAGAGATGCTGCTGCACAGAGAGCGCAACAGAGCGGTTGAGGATTCCATATTTTGCTCAAGGGCATCTCGGCAGCACTCAGTGACACCTCTCCAGCTACCAGAACAACTTCAGTATTATTCTGGTCTGCTCCTGGACTTGAACTGGCAACCCTCCGGCTCCCAACCCAAGTCCCTACAGACCGATATACTGCTGCAGAAGAAATGAAATAATAATAATTAAATTACCTTCAAGCGCTTCAAAACTAACTTTACACACAATTAAAAGCCAATTAGCAACAGTTTATAAATAATGTTGCAGAACATCTCATAGCATCTGTGGGTCAGTGGTAGAGTCAGTCGCATCTCCATCGGAAGGACGAGGGTCAGATTCCCAGCTCCTTTAGCCACGTATCCGATGTGTCCTTGGGCAATACATTCAGTTAAATGACCAGGCCTTCCCCATCGTATCTGTTTTATTTGAATATCAGACCCCTCTTTTCCTACTCTCTACATTCAAGCAGCACATGCTGGACAGACGTTACTCATCCACAGTGGAGACATCCAGATTGGCTCCTTTTTTCTGCTTCTTCTGACTCTTGATCTTTGTCTACTCCTCAGCTTTCAGGCACATTACTGCCACCATACTGAGGTGGACCTATTACTCCAAAAGGTTCTCTGATCTGGTTATTATTATTGTTATCATGAAACTTAATAGAAGCAGTGTTTTATTATATTATTATACTTTTATGATCTTTTCCTCTGTTTGTGTCTAAACTACTGAATGTATGTTAACGGGTTATATTTAAATGACGCCAAAGAACATTAGGCAAAGGGACTGCTGATAAAAATAATCCACCTCCGTCTGAGTGTTGATTAATGTACACAGTCCCTCTAACAACTTCTGACTACTCGAAGCTCTTTAACACTGCAGGTCACACTGATGGTAGAGGCTGCTGAGTAAAGAGTCCATCAGTATTAACTAATCTGATTTAAACACATTCAAATGCCTACAGAGCAGTGGGAACAACTTGGGGTTAAGTGTCTTGCCCAAGGACACATCAGACATGTGGCTGCAGGAGCTGGGGATTGAACCCCTGACCTTCAGGTTGAGAGACAATCAACTCTACCATTGACCTACAGCCAAAAACATGGATTGACAGCATTTAGTGTACCATCTCTTTACAGACACAACATTTAAAGAATGAGCCACAACGTTTGGATAAAAAAGAACAGACCGAAAGGATCAAATGTCAAACATTTATTTATATAAAAGTACTTCAAATATAGATTCATTATTGTTTAAGTGGTATTAAGTTGTTGCATTCATACGTTTTTCAAAGCTTTTTTATTAAAAACTGTTTAAGTTCCAAAAAGAGGTGAGAAGAGTGAAGTTTTGAGGTCCTTCTCCAGATAATTAACCCTTCATCGACAGAAACAAACTTTCAATCCACAAAGTAAAAAGCTAAGGTAAGAAAATTGGTTTTAAGGCAGCAGTGACACATGAGGTGATGTTTAGGAGAACATCCTGAATTTGCTGCCGTCGAGGGGCGATATCATGAGCCGTGCAGAGCCGGGGGAGTGGAGAGGCCGCCAGTAGTTTCTCCAGATGACGGTGCACAGTCGGAACAGCAGCAGGACACATGCCAACACCAGCAAGACGACTGACAGCACACAGGAAGAGCCCGAGGGGAAACAGAAGGAGACAGTGTGAGCCGGGTGAACTGAAAGAAACTCAGTGTTTCAGAAGTAATGTCAGGGAGTCCTGAAAGGTCGACCATGATTATTATGAAAAAAGACAGATTTAGGGGAAGGAACATCCTGCAGGCCAATACAGGAGAGATGTGTATACATTCTTTTAGATAATAGACGTTATATCAGAAATAAAAACTGTAACAGATTACAGATCCCATCTTCTCCTCACGTTCACCTCTCATGTTGTCAGTCTGTGAAACCTATGGAGTAAATTGACTCATTATTAATCTGATACTGGCATCAGTTAAATCCCTCATTTCAGCCTCTGCCTCAAACCGTTCAGTTCAGATGCTGTCTCTTTCAGAATCCAAGGACTCATGATCCTGTTCTAATGGAGGTTAAAGGTTGTCTGTTTGCATTATCCTGTCAAATAAAAAAACAAACAGCTAAAGATCTGATTCTTTTTGACAGAGAAAGCTAAAGTTTGCATTTTTCCTGCTGTCATGATGATGATGTACAGTAAGTTTATGATGTCATGGGATTTGTGGTTTAAAAAGTGGTGCTGCAGTGGAGGCATTTCATTTGAGCATTAGATTCAGCACTAATATAACTTAGAATACAGATTTGAACAATATGAAGCATATAAAGATACACAGTCAGAACATCTCACAAACATTTGAAAAGGTCAGGAAGAACAAGGCGCATTAAGTTCATGACATTCAACACTGTCATTTTTTAATTTATGTTTTTCTTAACTCTCAGCTTTAATGGTTTATGACTTCAAATCATTCAAGCTGAGTCGTACAGATTTCAAGGATATGAAACATTAACACATCAAGAAATAACATCACAATAAGATAAAAAAAACACTTTGTTATCAGACAACATTTCTAAGCATGAATTCCCCCCCCCCCCTCCCCCGGACCATTGACCCGTATATGTCAGACCTCAAACATCTCTCAGCCTGTTATTTCAGACGGCTCAGAGTGTGACTTAATGAAGTGGTTAAACTTACCCATGAACACAGAGTTTGGAGTTGGATCGTCAGGGTTAAAATGTTTCAGGATGTTTCCGACCAGAGCCACAATCACCACGGGATAGACGGTCAGGATGTAACGCACCCAGCGGTCCAGTACCCAGTGTTCCAGGATGAACCTGAAGGCATCAGAAGATCAGCAACATGTCAGAAATGAATCAGAGAACAGTGATTGTTTTACACGTGTGTGTTTCTGTAAACATGTTCATCTCTGCTGTAAAAACAGGCTTTTTTGAATGGGTGTGTATGTGACTTTCTGTGCTTCTGCAGCCAGCCTCTAGTGGACACTCAAGGAGCTGCAGGATTTTACACTTCCTCATTAGCTTCATGTTTAAACACTGGAGGTTGCTGCTTGTTTAAAGTGAACCTGACTCCAGCTTCTCGTCTGTGTCCACACACCCGCACCATAAAGCTGATTCTGATAGAACTGATAGTATCATGTGGTGAGCGTGTCATTGTGCTGGTCCAATTAGAGCTCACCATGTCACCACCTCTCCAAACAGGATGCACAGAGAGGCGGTGGCGGCCGTGCTCTTGTCCACGCCCCACAGATGAAGGACCAATGAGAAGTTAATGAGCGAGGCGATGGAGGTCCACGTGGTGTAGAGAGCCAAACCATTCTGGACCTGAGTACAGAGACGTTCACATGGATGACATCATTAACCCTTTATTAAGCAGCTGTTTGCTGAGTCAGGAGAAAACAGTCTTTGTCACACACGCACGCACGCACGCACGCACGCACGCACGCACGCACGCACGCACGCACGCACGCACGCACGCACGCACGCACGCACACACACACACACACACACACACACACACACACACACACACCCCAGGATCAGAGGTCAGTGCTGATGAGGACTCTCCCCATCTCACTGACAGTGAAACGTCTGAGTGCCGATACTCTCAGAGACAGAAAAACAAAAGAGACTACAGTGTAGAAAAAATTAAACTGTTTCTACAAAAAAAAAATGGGTGTGTAAAAATAGAAAATTTTGTTGGATCTTGTAGTTCTCCTGTGATGTGTCATGAGTGTGCTCCACTGCGCTGACGTCCCAGAAACGGATCCAGTGTGAATGGGCGCGAGCCGTCCGACAGAGAAAAACCGTAGCGCTGACGGACCGCGGCGCGCTCGGCGTATGCGTGAATTGCAAGTTAGACAAGGTTGTGCTCTTTCAGGGATGTTATATTCCATCTCTATTGAACCCATGTTGTGTAAAATACGGTCTTCCATTGAAGGGTTAATTTTACCTCACTGTTCAAACTCTTTGATTGTGTCAGCCTATGCAGATGATGTTATTGTCATGATAAAAAATCAAAAAGAAGTGTTTTTAATAGAAAACATTGTGAAAGATTTTGGTATAGTGTCATCTGCAAAAGTGAACTGGGGGAAGAGTGAAGGGTTAGCAGTTGGTTTTAAATCACATTCGCTACCAGCAGGACTAACATGGGGAAGAAATGGTTTTAAGTATCTTGGTGTTTATTTAGGGGATGAGCTCACTGTACAGAAGAACTGGGAAGAGGTGGTGGAGAAAGTGAAGGGGAGGCTGGAGAAGTGGAGGTGGCTGCTGCCACAAATGTCGTACAGAGGAAGAGTGCTCATCATCAGCAACTTGGTCTCCTGTGGACTCTGGCACAAGATGGCATCTATAGAGCCCCCTGCTGGACTCCTTAAAGAACTGCAATCAGTGATGTTGGATTTTTTTCTGGGACAAGCTGCATTGGGTTCCACAGGCCGTGCTGTTTTTACCTAAAGAAGAAGGAGGGCAGGGTCTGGTCCACCTGGCCAGCAGAGTAGCTGCCTTCAGAATGCAGTTTCTACAGAAGTTCCTCACTGATGTGGTCTGGAGACCAGTGGCCAGCAGCATTTTTTAAAAAGTGAACGGACTAGGACTGGACTCCTCACTGTTTTTAATGAATACTGACTGTTTTAATCTGTGCAACCTGCCTGCTTTTTATCAGAGCCTTTTTAAAACCTGGAAACTGTTTTTATGGAAAAGACTAGAGCCCACACTGTCCCTACACTGGCTGCTGGAGGAGCCTCTGATCTCTGGGGATCACATCTTTAAT